GGGGGGGGGGGAATGGGGTCAGGACCCCTAATATTTGTGAAATCAAACATGATTTTTTAAAAGATAAACTCAAATAGCTTTTAATAGATTTTTTATTAATGTTAACAAATAATGAATTATTGTTTTAAAAGTAGGCCTAACTACAAAAGTTTCAACCTTGAAGGTACACTCCATGGGTTTGAAAATCCCCCAAACGCCATCCACAGCAGTGGCGGATTTAGAGGGGTGTCGGGGGGGTCTTGACAAGTGTTTAAGAGAACGTTATTCTAACGTTCTACACTTCCACTGTCGTTGATCATTGATCCGAGGAACGTTGCCAGCAAGTTCTATTAAAGTATATAAATTTTGATGAAATTTATACAAACTAGAAAAGTACTCAGAGAGCGCAGACCTCCGCCAAGGCAGCAAAGTCTCCATCCAATGCCGTTTCACCCCTAAATTTTCGATATTTTTTATTATTGATTGATTATTTATCCGGATCACCACCAAAAACTAATCATCTGTTCCTTGGCCCAGTTCTGACAGTTCCTGAAAATTTCATCAAAATGGGTCTATAGCTTGTTATGTTGATGACAGACAGACAGACAAACAAACAAACAGACAAACAGGGGTGAAAACATAACCTCCTTGGCGGAGGTAATTATACATTTTTGTTAATTTTGGCAAAAACACACGAACAAAGGATTTCATATTTTGCATCACTACAATTTGCACAATTTTAGTCATCACATCTGGTATTAAAACGTTCTAACACTGTTATAAAAATAAAAAAAAAAGATATGTGTCGGTTATAGTTACCAATATAGCAAGCAGCAGTCGCGCCATACGCTATCGGTATAAGGTTGGGCTTCAAGCCTGCGTCATACGCTGTTTTAACTACATCTAGTGGCTGATTATAAATTGGGGTTGGGGTTAGTCAGCGACTAGAGCGAACCCTCGGGCAGTCGGTATCTACCCGAAATTACCGACATGATGAAATGCTTTAAAAACCTTAAAAAAAATAGACTTAATTATGTAATAAGGTTTATCAAAATTATTAAGGTGTTTTCAAGTAATTCTGATAGGTAATTGGATAGTTTTAACTTCATTTTTGAAAATTCATTCTAATAAATTGCTTACAAGGTCAGCTAACACAGGAGTAGTGAAAAGGTTTAGCACTGAAAACTTGACAGAAGCAGGTAAGGTGGAATAGCACGCCTCGGTCTTCTGATAGACAAATTAGGGAGTCCATTCAATTAGAGGGGTTTAGTGGATGTCAGGTGGGGCGATTCCATTGCATAAAAAGGGTGACAGGTGGGGCAGGTCCATTGCATTAGAAGGGGTGCCAGGTGGGGCAAGTCCATTGCATAAAAGGGGTGACAGGTGGGGCAGGTCCATTGCAT